AGCAGGATCGTGATTAATCAATGACCAGATTTTTCGAAACACCCTGTATACATTTTTAAAAAATCTTAAAATATGTAAAAAAACAAAATAAAATATAGCTGTTTAAGCGTTTTTTGGAAACTTGACCGTTTTTTAAATAAAAAATATTGTAATATTTGAGGGGTGGTTTCGCCCTCTTGGAACTGGAATTTCGAAAAATCAAATCAACCTGTATACCAGAATTGAGCTTCTTACGTTGAGTGGTTTGATCAGGATCGTGATTAATCAGTATGTCAGTCACTTAAGGATTTTATATATCAGTATAGATTTTAAAAAACCTTGTAGATCAAAATCACGGACATGAACTTCAATTCGTTTCGTATCTATGTAGTATTTCTTGATTGACTTATTACCTATGGGAAAACTGTGCTGCTGGTCAGCGATTGTTATGTATTAGTCAACGTGCCCTATTTTTTTCAAATGTTCTATTTCGTTCAAGAAAATGCATTTAATCCGCCGTCTGGTGCCGTTCACTTCCAGTGTCGGGGACAAAATTACATACATTTTGTTTAATACACAGATGTATCAATAATATGATATGTTTTAATTTGTTTTGTTTAGAATGATAATGAACATACAGTTTCTGCAAAGGACTTACGTCCTTTTTACATAAAACCATTGATTTAAAATGATAAAAAAAGTAAAACGGACAATCTATATGCGCATCAGTAGATAGCTTATTATGCACGATGAATAATTGAATAAAAACAGAAGGAAGGAGTCTGCAAATACTAATTCTTCTAATAATACTACTACTAATTTATGTTATTACTATGTTAACTGGCAAAGTAGTACAACAGAGAGAGGCCATATCACTAAAGTTTAAATATGGAGAATACCTTAACCATCTAAAATTTTAATTACCCTGAAGAACTATAAGTACAAATCAACAAACTAAATACAGCTATTACTAAGTATGTAGGTCTCAAAATTAATCTGGTAAAAACTAAAACTGATATACCTACATAAATTGCCCGTGAAATTAAATACCACAGCGATTTTTTTACTCAATTTCAACGAGTTGTAACTTATGTAACGTAAAAAATGGACCAATTTTGTTGATTTTTTAGCATATTAAAGATCGGTTATCGTAAATTGATCTGATTCTTCTCAATTTTGTATGAGATTTAGTTTTCTATGATATACAGGGTGTGTAAAAAAGGAATGTAATTTTTGTAATTTTTGTGTTGCTGCCATTTTGCTAAAAAACAAAATTTAACTAAAATTATAAGTTCTGGATATAGCTAAGACTAATATCTCGGGACTTATTTGGAATTTTTACGATAACTCATCTGGAATAAAAGATAATCAATTTTTACTCTAACTTGTATTTTTCTGCCTTTCTTAAGAGATATGCTAACAAAACTGAAATTAACTTTAACATTGTAGGATATTCGTTACTTTTACAATGTGAAATTAAAAAAAAACTACTAAGTTGCAGCTAAACTACAGATTTTTAGACACAAAAAGAGTTTTTACAAAAATATCAAATACGTGTCGAGCTTTTATCTTAACCTTTAAAAAAATTATTTTACTTTTTCGCGGGTCGTATTTTTAAGAGATCCTGTATTAAACTGCGTTAGTTAAATAATTTTTTTTTAATTTCACATTAGTAACGAATATCCTACAAGTTTAAAGTTAATTTCAGTTTTGTTAGCTTATCTCTTGAGAAAGGTAGAAAAAATTCAAGTTAGAGTAAAAATTGAATATCTTTTATTCCCGATGAGTTATCGTAAAAATTCCAAATACGTCCCGAGATATTAGTCTTAGCTATACCCAGAACTTATAATTCTAGTAAAATTTGTGTTTTTTAGCAAATGGCAGCTACACAAAATACAAAAATTACATTCCTTTTTCACACCCTGTATATCATAGAAAACTAAATCTCATACAAAATTTAGAAAAATCGAATCAATCTACGATAAACGATCTTTAATAAGCTAAAGAAATCAACTGTAAAATTGGTCCATTTTTTTCAAAAGTTACAATTCGTTGAAAATGAGTAAAAAAATCGCTGTGGTATTTAATTTGACGGCAGTTTATAACGAACAATATACAGGGTTGGTTCAGACTGTATTCCGGAAACTTCGGCAACACATTCTGCAGATAAAAATATGTAAAAAAGTTTGTATAAATGTATGTCCGAAAATGCTTAGTTTTGGAGATACAGGGTGTAGAAGTTTCATTTTTCTTTCGATTTTTTCCAAATAATTTTTGAAGTAACGTCAATATTTGGATGAAAATTGGTTTCTGGAAGTTTTTTGACATGGGCAATTTGATTTTGATGTCATTATGACTCTTATTTGTAGGGGGCGCCACTTACATGTGTTTTAACTGTTTTGAACTTATAAAAAGGTTTTGAAGAGTAATAACTTTTCGTCCGTACCTGTATAAAACTACTGAGTGAAAAATTATAGATTTCCGTGATTTTTTACGTAAAATATATCTCTTGGTAAAAATAAACAGGTTGAGTAGATAGTTGTTATTTGACTGATGTGATAAATTTGGGAACTTTTTATTTATTTTTCTTCGACAAAATGATGATAAAATAGTTTCTGTTGAACTTTTGGCATAAAACATTTCAAATTTATGATATCAGTCCTTTGAATAAAAAGACTAAGGAAGGAGCATATCAAAAATCTTAGGTACACCGCGATGGGCCTCAAATATGGCCGACTTAAATTCCGGTTTATCAGTGTCGTTCTAATTTTATTTAAAAAATGTAAAACTATGTTGTAGGGTAGACGTGGGGTAGACTCAATAATTTGTTGTTTTATTTTACGTTGTGAATAAATGTTGGTAGTTATTAAAATTGTTATAAAAATAATAATAAATAAAAGTTATAATAAGTATTTATTAACACAAACATCCGATACGCTACTGAAGCAGGTAAGTCAAATTAACGTATCTAAATTCTTTGACATCTAATCTTTGACAAGTAATAAATAAAGTTAAAATGCAAGAAAAAAATATATAATTTAGTTAATTTAAGTGAATTTCATAAATGATTGGTTTCTACACGTATGTATATTATATAGTCACTTACTAGCGAAAAGTTGTTCCATTATTACACTCAATTTTGCCGAGATCTACCGCACGCTACACAACCAACTATTTTAGAATCTTTTTCGATAAATCGCTGATAGTGTCACTGTTAATTTAAGTTCTGCCACAATTTCCATCTAGATTTACTACCTTTATACAACTATCAGTAGTAGAATAAATAATAAATAACATAAAAAATAAGCTCCGTAAAGACTGACAAATCCACAAAATTTCAAATCCAAATTCAAATGTGTCAAATGAATCGTCAAACAGAACTGTCAAGGATCCCCACTCTGGAGTGCTTTATGGTGCTTTTTCCAGCCCACCATACATCAAGTCACATGGATAGCATTATGTTCCTTCCTTAGTCTTTTTATTCAAAGTATCAGTCTAATAACTATTCAGTCAACATGTTTAATTTATGGCAATTATGACAGGTATTGATAATTTCGATTCAAAAATCTCTTTGAAAACCATTACTCGTAGGGGATTTCTTTACCAAGATATACTTTTATCACGTAAAAAACGCTGTAAATGTATATTTTTACTCAGCAGTTTTATACAGGTACGGACAAAAAGTTATTACTCTTCAAACCGGTTAAAAATATGTACGTGGCACCCTCTATAAGTAGGGAGTCATACACGGACATCAAAATCAAATTTCTCATGTCAAAAAAGTCCCAGACACCAATTTTCATCTAAATATTGAAGTTACTTGAAAATTATTTGGAAAAATCGAAATAAAAATGAAACTTCTACTGGCCCTATATCTCGGAAACTAAGCATTTTAGGAGATACATTTATACGAAGTTTTTACTTATTTTTATCTGCAGAATATACTGCCGAAGTTTCAGGAATACATTTTGGACCACCCTGTATATGTATACGAAAAATTATGTTCACTTGTAGACAAACAATTTTTATTTAAAAGTAATAGTTTCCATTACCTCATTAAATTATGAAAATATCTTTATTGTATTAATTTGTGTTGTGTGAAATATTCAAATTTATAAAAAAACAATACCTACCTAATTGGCTGTTCTATGACAAAATAACGTATCTTAATATTTTTTTCTGATTTTTATTATGCTAGTACTGCGTATGCAAGACGCTTCGATTGGCATTTTTAACATTTTTTTAAATATTTTTAATACAAGGTGTAATATACATGCGATAGTAACCCATATAGACCGAGAGCTGACTACATAAAAAAAACTTTATCATCGTTACATGGCTAATTTTTTGTGTGAAGTATCCTTTTGTAGCCATTGTGAAATAGTCATGTCTGCCAGCGCGATCCCGGGGCTTAAAGCGGGGGGCGGCCAATCGAAAGGGTGAAATTTTGACACTAAAAAAATATTATAAGGTACACGAGTTATAATTGCCAAATAGCTTTTATTTATTATTAGGAAACGTGTAAAATTGTTGACAGACATTTTGTCGTGGCTGAAATGCCGGCAGACAACGCGAAAGAGGCATAGGAATTTTGACAAAGAAAATAATCGCATACAATACATATCGGTTGGTGAAATGTCATGTTTATTGTTAATTAATTTAAAGCCGTATGCAAAAAGAGCAGACAAAAATCGTTATTGAAATAATAAAAAATTTATTTATAATATAATCGTATATTATAAATATATTTTTCCTTCAGCGTTCTCCTGTATAAAGCGCTAGAGTATCGCGCTTTTGATAACTTCAGTCTGTAGCTGAGATTGAGCCACGATCTTTTTCATGCGCCTTTTACATACGGCTTTCTAAAAATAAATAAATATGACATTTCACCAATCGGCATCTAAATATGCCATAATTTTTCTTCATTCAGGTCCCGTATTTAGAAAAATTAAGTTCGCCTCTGTACCTCAAAAATTATAACCTAATTTGAAAATCTAAAATATTATCAGATAGCCTAATAAAAGTGGCTACGAGAATGTGCAATTAGTTTTTGATTTTCTAAAAGTAACGACAGGAAAATAAAATGAATTTTCAAAAAATCAGTTTTTACTAAAAACTTATCAATCCTTGAAATTTTTGAAACTTTTTTGATGGCATCTTTGTGAACATCCCAAAGCGCAACTTGCCCCACCAATGCTCGTACCTAGAATTTGTAGCACCCTGTATAGTGTCTAATGTTTTCGTGCGCTAGTCCGACTCGCACTTAACCAATTTTTTTAAATAATCTGTATGTTCTTTAATTTGAACGATTGTTTCTCTTTGAATTCTCACCCTGTATAAGGAGAATCACAAGTATGTTTTTATTACATATCTTTTCGGAGTTTATAAAAGAACGCACCAATTGTATATCTGAACTGACCTGTAAAAATACAAAAAAACGTGGATAAATAAGTACCCTGTTTGGACAAACAGGAATAACAGTTCTTCTGCTCGAAGTACCTTTACAACGTCTTTTTGTAAATAACATCTTGTCACATAAAAGAATCTCTCTGAAGTGTTATAGTAATGCAAATTAACTGCAATAGGCTGAAAAAAACTTTTGAAACAATAAATGTATTTTCAGGTCTTTAATGCAAGATACTTCCAGTTAGGTCAGTTGCTTACTTTATGTTTAGTTTTAAATTTATTTTAATTTACTTAGCCAATAAGTACTTTTATCAAATTCAATAACAAACATAATAAAACTTTCAAGTTTAGGCCTTACTTAGATTTTAAAATATACAAAAAAGTTTTTTTCAATTATTATACAGATAGAAAAGTTGTAAATATGAATAAATGTCATTTTCAATCACCCCATTTAGAAATATTTCTTAGGTAACAATAACAAAATTAATCAAGACGTAAAGTCCTCTGCTAAACAGTGAAGACTACAATGTAATTAACACAATAGCGACATTAGACATTGTACATGTCTATACAGGGTGTCCCAGAAATATAAGTGCAAAAAGTATTTTTAACTGGGTAGTATAGTTCAACCCCAGAAACACGCCTATGAGTTTTCAGCCATTGCCCCTATGAGCATGAATATGGCAACATAGATAGTATTAAATTTACAGAGAAAGAAAAATCCAGAAAGATCCAGTGGTTCACAAAATTTTATTAAAAATCTTTTTGGACGTTGGACGTAGGACGTGGGACGTAGAACGCAGGACCTAAGACGTAGAACGTAGAGCGTAGAGCGTAGGCTTAGGAACGTGGGGAGGCTTAGCAGTAGACGTAGACGTAGACGTAGACGTAGACGTAGACAATAGACGTAGACGTAGACGTAGACGTAGACGTAGACGTAGACGTAAGACGTGCAATAGACGTAGACGTAGACGTAGACGTAGACGTAGACGTAGACGTAGACGTAGACGTAGACGTAGACGTGGGCAATGAACGTAGGCGTAGACATGGGCGTCAGACGTAGACGTAGACGCAGGTAATGGACACGTAGACGTAGACGTAGACGTAGACGTAGACGTAGACGTAGACGTAGACGTAGACGTAGACGTAGACGTAGACGTAGACGTAGACGTAGACGTAGACGTAGACGTAGACGTAGACGTAGACGTAGACGTAGACGTAGACGTGGGCGGTGAACTTGTAGACGTAGACGTAGACGTAGACGTAGACGTAGACGTAGACGTAGACGGTAGACACGTAGACGTAGACGTAGACGTAGACGTAGACGTAGACGTAGACGTAGACGTAGACGTAGACGTGTAGACGTAGACGTAGACGTAGACGTAGACGTAGACGTAGACGTAGACGTAGACGTAGACGTAGACGTAGACGTAGACGTAGACGTAGACGTAGACGTAGACGTGAGACGTAGACGTAGACGTAGACGTAGACGTAGACGTAGACGTAGACGTAGACGTAGACGTAGACGTAGACGTAGACGTAGACGTAGAACGTAGAACGTAGAACGTAGAACGTAGAACGTAGAACGTAGAACGTAGAACGTAGAACGTAGAACGTGGAACGTAGTACCTAGTATGTAGAACGTAGAACGTATAGGAGGAGGGTTGATCATCACGACTTTACAGTCTATTTTGAGTTAAGATTAAATATTAAACGAGTTATAACTCGTCATACAGTTTCAAGGCTTTGACAAAAGCCAGCATGTGAACGATTTTACAGGCACGAAACTTCATTGCACGAATGGTTGTCGTTTCGGCGCGCTCAGTGATATGAGGTGTTCTGGGGTTTCCCCATTTTCCCCATTTAATTTGCATTCGCCGTTGTTTCTTAGCTTCAATCTACTGAGGTGTTTGCTGGGACAGTGTCCTGTTAAAATCCCATGACAACTCGGGAAGATTTTTCTTCCTTAAATCAAAGAAAAAATTCAGCCAGTAGCGCCACACTTTAGTTATTTATATATTGTTTTCTGATATTAATTGAAATTAGAAATACAAATAGCAAAACAGTTTTTTCTAATTGACTTATTTTTCTTTTTATTTACAGAGATATCATGTCTGCTGGTATTTGGTATAATCACCTTATTGTCTGGAATGATAACCCTAATATTTACACCATTCCAAATTCTTCTAAGCATCAGATTGGAGATGACACCCGGTAAGTACAGCTTAGTAATGCCTATTTAAAACAATAATAAATCAGAATAATGTGAATCTACATATAAAGAATTTTACTCGTACTACAAAGTGTATCATTCTCTCTCACAATTTTCACAAAAAGTGCTTCCTAAAATCATGGTCCCATCTCATACCATGCTGTAATTTTTCTGCTTCATCTGTTGTCCGTCCTTCTTGTTAGATGTCTTGCCCATTGCCACTTCAGGGATTTGATTCTGTGGATGACATCTATTACCTGTGTCTTTTATCATATCCACTCTGTTCTTTTACGGTCTTTATTATTCCCAGCATATTTTTTTCCATTGAGCATTATGCGACCTGCAGGTTCCCCTTATAATATCTAAATAAAATAAGTATACTTAGGTAGACATATACCAGGTATAATAGTATTTGCCCAAATTCAATGTACCCTGCACAGCACCACTCTTATAAAAGAATAATCTATTATTTCCATTACTAAAGAAAATCTTAACAATATACTAAAAAATAAAGTATTTTATGTTGCCGTGCAATTGCCAAGGCATTATAATTATTATTATTATAGAAATAAAGATGTCTATATAATATTGATACGGTCACTATAAATGTTGACTGGTAACTGATTAGATAACAATATCTCTCTTAATTTTAGGTTTACCTCCTTTTGATTGGTGGTTTACACCGCCCGATGAAGTTCTTGTCAGAGTTCATATTTTTAACGTCACGAACTCAGAAAGATTTCTTAATGGAACAGACAGCAAACTGAACATTCAAGAAGTAGGACCCATTGTATACAGGTGAGATCAATTTTGTTTTTATTTAAAAACTAGAAATTAACTTTTTGACTGTTTTTAGAGAAAAATTAATACATAGCAACGTGATTTTTAACAAAAATGGTACTTTAACGTATACAGCGAATAGGACGGCTGCGTACGAACCAGAACTAAACACTATAAATTTAAACGAAACTCTCATTGTTCCTAATTTGGCTGTATTGGTAGGTATTTATCTCTTTCCTCTTCAAAATACAGAGTTTTAGAACATTTGTAAAATAGCAATACATTAATCTGTCAATTATACAAGATAAAACAAAATGTTCATATGTTGGTGAAAGTTTGAAACGCCCTGTGGAGTATGTTACCAAAGCAAGGGATTTAAAATTTATTCTATTTTCTAGGTGTGTCTTTTCTCGATAGTTTGTTTTTTGGTTCATCTTGATAGCTTTTTATTTGGTGGAGATATTCGCTTTCGAAGAAGACACTAACATTTTTTCGTAATTTTTTCATTCTTATTAAATTTTCTCACTAAACTTGAAACATCTAAAAGCGTGTTTTATTAAAACAATAATGTTTCAGCGATGTTTCACAAAGAACCAAACACAGAATCTGTACTATGTATTTATTTATTTATTTATTTTTTAGCTTATACCAGCATATTTCCATGATGCGACTATGTTTTTCAAATTCGCTATAAACGTGTTGATGAGAACATATTCAGCACAGCCTTTTGTAAAAACCACAATTCACGACTTCCTTTGGAACATGACGGATCCCATCTTGGAAGCTGCCGAAAAAATAGCACCATCTCTAGTACCAACCAAAAATACTGGAATAATGCAAATAGTAAGTTTTCTGTAAGTTATATCATTTGATTTGAATTATATTCTATTAACACATAAAAGTAGCATTATATACTTAGATTGAACTATATGTGCGTGTATCGTGTATCTCTAGCAACCTGCCAATATTTAGAGTAATAGATATTTATGTTATATACAGGATGTCCCACGCTGAGTGTGCATTAGAAGTTCCTAGAGAACTACAATATCTAGATCGGAGATTTTTTGCACATTATTGTTTCACATGGAGATAAAAATACAGGGTGGCCCATCGAAAACGTTCCGCAAGGCATAACGGCCAGGGTAATTTTTTTTCAGAAAATTCAAAAACACGTCAATTTTGTTTGTGAGGGGGACAACTTTTGCCCCAAAAATTATTGCAAAATCTTCAACCCTCTAAGCGGGGGTGTTTTCAAAATGATTACCGCAGTCACTATGAAATAAAAAAACGACATGTGGGCTATCTATTTCAAAAATTAAGGGTGTATTCCGTTGCTTACCTAGGTTATGGTTCCGTTTTTATCGGTTTCCTAAAAGTTTTCTTATTACGGAACACGGTTCCTGAAAAATTCGGTTATAACTGTCACCATTGCCTTTATCATGGTACAAAGAAAACAAGGTATGATCGATAGCGGCTCCAATTTCGTTAAGTTTGCGCATACCACCTGTGACGTCATACGCCATACAAAAAAATATCAATGAACGCCATCCTGACAAAACACCTTTATGGCAAATTGTTCGCCAGTTAGTAGCAAAATTTCTCGAAACTGGTTCCGTTATGAATAAAAAGAGGCAGAGGGAAAATCCGGTAGTAAATGAAGCTATGGAGGTATTCGTATTGGGCCAAGTTGCCATGGACAGTATTCTGAGTACAAGAAAATTAGCCAATGAGACCGGCGGGAATCGTACAAGTTTCCAAAGGATATTGAAGGATAGTGAAGCTATGAGTGAACGAGTGGCGAATGATAATTTCCTATTTAATGTGTGTTTTTCGGATGAGTGTAAGTTCTTTTTGAACGGTGTAGTTAATCGGCACAACTGTCGGTACTGGGCTGAGGACAACCCCAGGGTTTTTCACGAGGTGCACACACAAAACCCTCAGAAATTGAACGTGTGGGCTGGTATTTTTGGAAATTCTATTGTGGGTCAGTTTAACGATATTGAGGAGAACTTCAACGTACAAGTCACAGAACAGCTATCTAGCAACTACCGCACCTGATCGTTCAACGTTGTGGCAAGTGAAAAAATGCGTAAACATCTAGAAATAATAAGAAAAAACAGCAAATTGATCGAATTTATCCTTAATTATCATTTACTCTGATAAATGCTTAAATAAACTTTTCAAATTTCAATCCTTCATATTTTCTCAATGACTCGACCGATTTTCAAAAACGAAGCGGGGAAATATAGAGAATAGAAAGCTCTTTTTATTGCGGCGCTACTTGACCCCCCTTTCCATTTGAAAAAAATGGGGGGATGACACCCCCGCTTAGAGGGTTGAATATTTTGCAATCATTTTTGGGGCAAAAGTTGTCCCCTCACAAATAAAATTGACGTGTTTTTGGATTTTTTGAAAAAATAAATACCCTGGCCGTTATGCCTTGCGGAACGTTTTCGATGGGCCACCCTGTATTTTCAATATTGCGGCACTCCCCGGAAATACCGGAAGTTGACGACAATTTTCTTATTTTAAATGGGTGCCCCCATTTTTTATTTTATATCTAAATTCTCTGTAAAATTTTATGAGTTATGATATTAAACATTTTATACCTAACATTAATCGTTTTTGAGAAAAAAAATAAAATTTTTGGACAAAAATGATTACCGCAGTCACTATGAAATAAAAAAACGATATGTGGCTATCGATTTCAAAAATTAAGGGTGTATTCATGGGCGCCGGAAGAATGAAATTTAGGGGGGGGGCAAGGTAAAAATGAATAAAAAATTGACATCTTTGGTAATTATTGGGAAAACTGGAAATCGTCCGATTTTCACCATAATTGGTATACACCCTATTTTGAAGTCGTAGATTACGAATTTGAACGTTACGAATCTTTTTTCTTGGCGGTCTCTTACCGTTTTTGAGAAAAACGGAAAATAATTTCAATATCGAATTTTTCTTAATTTCTCATATGTTTAAGGTTTTCTAGCACATATTTTGTTAGGTATTCAATAATCAATAATGTTTTTGCTCTTTTCTGTTACTTTTTTAACCAATTCTATGCATAATAGAGGAAAATTTGTTAAAATAAATTTGTAAACAATCTGAAAATGTTAGATTATGGCTTTGTTCGGGTTCTTGTTATTACCGATTCTGAACCGTCCAAGAACTCTGCAGCGCATGCGCAAATGAAGTAATGTCTTCATATTTCCTTCTGCGCATACACATCACAGTTCTAGGACGGTTCAGAATCGGTAATAAGAGAAACCCGAAGTAAGTTTATGTCTTTCTGGCATTTAAAGCAACGTTGCCAATGTTAAACCTAAATTTAGCGTGTTTTTTTCGCTCATTCTGGAATTACGAAAGGCGGTCGCCAGAAGAACGGCTCCTTCCCATAACTGCTATTTTACCAACGAGATCTGACTATTTATACCCACGAAGTTGCACGAAAAAGTTTTGATTGCATTGGTTACAACTTCCATGCAGAGGGTGTTAATCTTTTGTTGTTATATTATTAGATTAACTAAGAAAAGATTAACCTCCTCCGCAAAGAAGTTAAAACCAATGCAATCAAAACTTTTCCGCGTAATTTTGTGGATATTGGTGTATATTTAATTATTGTTGATCTCATAATAGGTAATTTATTTAAATTCCGTAATCACCCGAAAAAATAGAAGATATGGCAACGTTGTAAATTTTCAAATTTCTAGATTAGGTCTAGAATAAATTTGTCTCTCTTATTACATAGGAGAGAGAAAGAAGGATATATCAAATGTCAAACTTCCATCTGGTCTCAATTTTCTTTGCTATTTTGTAAGAAAAGTGTTTTTCAGTAAAATGTTGGACACTTTTCTATCCCCAATCAAGTGTGGCTTTTAGATAAACTATAATATAATGAAAATATAGTGAAATTATTACTTTATAGGGCCGAAATAAAGAAAAATTCAATGTTGAAATAATTTTCCGTTTTTCTGAAAAAGGTAAGAGACCGCCAAGAAAAAATAGATTCGTAATCTACGACCTCAAAATAGTGTGTATACCAATTTTGGTGAAAATCGGACGATTTCCAGTTTTCCCAATAATTACCACATTTTTTATTATTTTACAGGTAACACCTAACAATTTCATAATAATGATTATTTTTTTTACAGATGGATGTAAGAAGATAGCTTTTATTTTTATTGTTTCAGTGATCCAGGGGGGGCAAATGCCCCCTCTTGCCCCCCCTGTCCGGCGCCCATAGTGTATTCCGTTGCTTACCTAGGTTATGGTTCCGTTTTTATCGGTTTCCTAAAAGTTTTCTTATTACGGAACACGGTTCCTGAAAAATTCGGTTATAACTGTCACCATTGCCTTTATCATCGTACAAAGAAAACAAGGTATGATCGATAGCGGCTCCAATTTCGTTAAGTTTGCGCATACCACCTGTGACGTCATACGCCATACAAAAAAAATATCCGTATTGTTCAATTGCCACTAATAAAAAAAGACCTAAAATAGGGAAGAATTAGGACGTAACCCCAAAAGTTATATCAAATCATGGAGCTTGACATTTGAAAAATTATTTTTACATTTTTTGTGTCATCTGTTTGACAATTTGAAATTGGCGCGCGGAGCTTGCCGACCAATGTACCGTTTATCACCTGTGACGTAGTGACAACCTGCGCAATATCATACCTTGTATTCTTTGTATCATGTGCCTTTATCTATGCTGTCACCAAACTAACCAGCGCGAGAAGGCTGGTTTTTCTGATTTTGTTTGTCAATCAATGTCATTTATGTGACAGAAATCAAGCAAATATTGGAAGTTCGAGTGAAATTCTCATTTAATTTCTACAATTTGTAATAATATTTTATATTTACATCCAACAGCAATGGAGGTAGGCAGTAAAGGTAAATAAATTTCATTGACTAAATAGAATTACTTTTTAGGACCATATAAACTTATCACGCAGCCATTGTTTCTTATGCACGGTTCTCACGAGGCGATTTGTATCGGTCAACTAAAAATCGCTTCCGAATAGAACAATAATCCCTTCATGAGAACACTGTTTCAATAAAAATTGATCAACTTTTGTTGACCGATAAAAAGTTACCCGGCTGTCAACTTTTGCTTTCAAGTCGGCTTAATTTTTGAGCGAGTTGAATCTTGTTGAACGTGAGGACGAGCCAGACCGACTCGAAAGCGATTAATCTTTGTTTGTACCGTATGATCGAAAAAAAAACGGCGTCAACGATGGCTATGAAATGAACATCGCTGATATGTAAAATTATTTGGGGAATGTCATCGATCGTCATTTCCAAGCCTACTGGACGCCGTTTTTTTTCGATCATACGGCGTTTTTTATGTGTGTGATAAGTATCTAGTGCATGAGGAAAATGGCTTCGTCTAAAAAGGGGTTTAAATGGAACGACGCTTTAACCTTCAAGTTTCTAGATCTTTATCAGCAGCACAAATGCCTCTGGAATCAAACCCTTATTATTTACAAGAACAAAGATGCCGGAGATACTGCGATTCGAGCAATAATTGTCGCTCATACGCAGAAAGTTCTTGTATCCAGCTTTATTTTCGATTGCTAGCTCTTTTAAAAGCATCTGTGATGCTCCTAGTCGGTCTCTCCTAGATATCCAACTCCTCACCCAACATTTTCTTTTTTTCTAAATATCTCTTTTCTAATATTATTTTTAGTTCCTCAAATTAAATATTTTTAATTTCACATACTTTGCACTACTTTATTTGGAGCCATTTTGGAGAAACTACCATATTGGGTCCGACCGTTATTTCAACCGTGTGAACGCAAATCGCTTGCGATTTTTGTCGGTCAACAAAAATCGTTCAATTAAAATCGCCTCGTGAGAACCGTTTTTAAAGTCAGGAACATTTAAAGAAAACATGAAAACAAGACATCAAGTAATCGTGAATGTTTTGTAAGCTCTAAAAATATAAATATTAATTAGATTTGTTTATTTATTATTGATCTGTTTTAATATTGGACCTGCAAATCTTCACTGTCTAACGAGTTTAGCAGTTTATTAATAAAGTACTTTATTAATAAACTCAAAATCAATATTAAACTCCATTGAAAAGAAGAAGCAAACGTAAAAGAGGGGAATAGGTACATTAAAAAAACAAAAAATAAATTTTATAATAAATAAGAAATTTAGAAAACGTCAGCATTTGACGTTTCCAGTATTTTACCAAACCGTTCCGTATCAAACCGATGTTTTTCAGAAACCGCTCTTTACCGTAGTTTACCGGTCTAGTTCGCCTGGTTTTGCAAAGGAATACAGCCTAGTTCTTTTAATATCGTATATTAGAAATACTGCTGCTAAAACTTTGTAAAGCGTATTTATAAAAATATAACTCTTTTAGTAATATCTAATAATTAATAATAATATAACATATGATCAAAAAAAAACGTCGCAAAATTGGCTTGGAAATGACGATCGACTACATACTGACTAATTTTAAAAAAGTGTCACAATATGACATGGCCAGATATATTGTTTTACATCGCTTGACGTTTCAAGTCATAGACTACTTGATAAAAACCCGAAAAATAAAACTAAATCTTAAATAATTTAAAAACGATTTATTTTAGATATAAGAACACGTATATTTAAAAAGTAACAAATTGAAAAAGCTTTTCACTAGTGAAATAAAAAAATTGGTTTCTATTTATTACATAATCTATTTAATTGTTTTCCTTTCAGATATACCGAGACTTCAAAGACAACGTTACAGTTTTTATCGGGAACAAACATGGAAACTCAAAATTCTTCACCGTGGACACTTACGATGGTTCGGAATATTTACCACATTTTTCCGACAGCAAATGTCGATTAAAATTTAGGAATTCTTCAGAAGGACTTTCCTATCCTCAAATGATCACCAAAGACACCAATTTAACTTACTGGCGGAAAACAGTTTGCAAATTAGCTGATATAAGATATTCAAGTAAGTAAAATTTCGGACATCCTGTACAGTATGTCCCATTTTGGTTGAAATCATACAGTAAAGATAGGAGGATGCGGTTTGCACAAACCCCCACTTTTTTATCAAACGGAAAATGCCGTAAACAAAATTTTGATAGGTCTCTTCGTTTCTGAGCTACATCAGGTCTTTTTGAAAATTTTACCTTTTGAGACACACCCCGTATTTTTGTTATAGTGAAATGTATCGATAGGGTGGAAACTGTTTCTTGTAGAACTTTTTACGTAGAATACAGTGGCTTAGTATGATTTTCTACAAAAAAACATTGAAGGTATGAATTAAAGTTATGTTATTATCTCAAAAATAAATAACACTCTATATATTTTCACTATTTACTGCAATATGTAAAATATATAATTTTCTTATTAGTACACCATAATAGATTATAAAAAAAATTCAAAATGGTATTAACTAAAATATTTATACACACACACATTAAAATTTTATTTGGGAATATAATATTTTGATAATAAAAAAATCAAAATGGTATGAACTAAAATATTCATACACACACACAAATATTAAAATTTTATTTGGGTCTAAAATATATTGCTTTTAAGCTGTTACCGCCGAATCTCTGAATATATTTTTGAATTAATTTTGTTCAAGTTTTCGATATTACGGTAGTTGCCACGATATACAGTATGTTCCCGGATTGGCTTTACAAGAGGAAAAACTTTTTTATTATTGGCATTTTGAGAAAAATGCACTCTTCTTAAAAAAATTTGCTTGTTCTAAATTGGATAATACCGTTTATACTTTTCCAAATATCCATATCGTTTTAGAGAAAATTAGAAAAAAAAATGGAAATATTGTAATCGCAAAACATTTTCCGAGGCACGTCATCAATCATATCGATATTGACACTAGAGTCTATAAACATGAAATTTTGACAAAAATGTTCAAATTTGTTGTATAATTTAAGATACCGAGCAGCTCTTCATTTTACTTTATAGAGCAAATGATTGTAACAGATATTTTTTTTAGATTAAAGCTGCAAAAATTAGTTTGAACCGAATTTTATTATCGCTATTTTGGTGACATTGCGCCGTTTTCAGCAAGGTTGTCGTTTATTATTTGACAATTATCCTAATGTCAGTCATTATTTTGTATAATGTCATGTTATTGTTGAATTTTTGCGAGTAATTCTCGTTCTCTATTTTAAAAATTGTACTTTTAAGCACAAACAGTTCTTTTAAGAACTCAATTTTCGAGTTTTTGTATTGCATTTCTTGAAATTGTGTGTTGAAAATATGCCGAAGCATTTAAACAGTCGATGCAAAGAGTTTGTAGCTTCCCTGATAAACTATTTTGAACAAGAACGTGACAATAAAGGTCCTTTATTATTCTTGGCTGCAGTCAGAGAAGTAAGTTTGATTGATAAGCACATTACATCACTTTCAAAGTTATTTCTACGTTAGTTTTTATTAAATCCTGTGATTATTAGTTTGTGTGACACCCTGTACATTAAAATAATCCAATTTGATATATTAATGTAAGACTAATGTAATAATTTTGACAGACGAAAATAGTAAATATGGCATCAAAGCGTACAACTTTAAATTTGTGGACTGGGCGTATAGCAGAGTTGAGTTTGAAGATAACAAAGATTGTTACAAAGGAACCCCTCCACTACCCAATGGACTTGCTGATGTGTCATCATGTTATTGGGGTAAAAAAATTGTTAAAAATTATAATTAATATAATACAGGTTTTGATATTTTTTAAGGATTTCCATTGGTTATGAGCTTCCCCCACTTTCTCTACGGAGATGACGTTATCAGGACCTATGTGGACGGCATGAACCCCAACGAAGAATCTCATGGATCATTTGTACTCATTGAACCAGTAAGTAGCTAATGTAATGTTTTATATGTATATGTTGGAGGCAGATGCCGAAGACATATGGCGATTTGTCCATACTAAACTTGCCAGATGCGTGCAACTTCGTGGTTATAAATAGTCTTTATATAACTTCTTTGCGGAGGGGGTTAATCTTTTTTTGGTATAATATAACAACAAAAGATTAACACCCTCCTCCAGGCGCGTGGCAAACGCACCCGCGGTCCCAGATAAATTGGGGGCCCCCAAATAGTAAAACTGTTGGTTTAACTAAAAACTATGTTCAACTAGATGGTCTTCAAGAGCCGAAAGCATACTATTGATAAAAACTAATTTTTTGTCCCTCGTCAAGTGTCTAGCGAATTTAACGTTAATACTGAAAAAACGTACTGTTAGAGATGAGGCCAAGATGTTACAAGATAAAATAGAAAATTTCGAATTTATTTTCTTACTAAATTTTGCAAGGTACAATGTTGGAAAATACTAACTTGCTTTCAAAATGCTTACAAAAAAATTATATTGATATAGGACTGGCCACAGATCTAATACTTATTAGGAGTTCTTGTTAAAATAGAAAATCTTACGGACAATTTTGAAAGTGTGTATGAGCGTCAATTTCAATTGTGAAATCTTGGAATATTGAACCTCAGTTAAAAAACAAAAGAGTTCGTAGAGTCAAAACTTTTTTGATAAAATAGCAGCTGATGAGCCCATTGAAAATCTTAAAAGTCGTTTAAAAGTCACAGTTTTTTATGCTTGTTTGGATATAATAATAACTCAGTTTAGAATCAGGTATGACGCATTTCAAAATATTTATTCAAAATTTGAAATTTTAAACCCACAAACATTGTTAAAATCTCGGGAATCTGATATCTTATAGCTAATGCCAAAGTATTAGTAGACAAAAATTACTAACACAAGACCTAACACAAAATCTAACATCGTAGTTAATTGAAGCAAAAAATTTACTTTATGAAAAAATCAAAAATTTTTACAGTATCAGAGAGTTTTCTGATTTTATTTTTGAAAAAAAAACAATTACTGATTAGCAGTATACCTGAGCTTTGCACTGTATTCCAGTTGTTTCTGGTTCTCCCTGTAACATCCGCTGAACCAGAAAGAACTTTTTCTAAGCTGAAAATAATAAAAAGTTTTGCGAGGTCTACTATGTCCCAAAATCGCCTAAGCTCACTGGCCATAGTGGCCATAATATCAGTTGAGAATGATCGAGCAAAAGAGGTAGATTTGTAACAAAAGAGGTAGACTCGTAAACAAGTTCCTTTTGTTAAGGTCGAGGAAAAAGGAATATACTTTCTAATATACCATAGGGTACTTCATAAATATTTAAAATGTCTTGTTCACATTTGTGTTTTAGTTATTAGTAGTTAAATATTGAGTTTTTTTAATAACTCTTTTTTTTCTAAATTTATTATTTTTTTTTAATAATTTCTAATAAAACTTTGATTAATTAGAAGCATAAATGTTTGTTTTCTAGTTTAAGTATTTTAAGAGTACTATAATAATAAATAAATGTTGAAACAATTATCAAAATATAAAAAAAATATCACATTGTCGCTCTTGTTAAAAAATATGTTTCAAGCAGATATGACAATAATGACGTACTTGAAGGAATTTTTGAGTATACTTAGGGGGGCCCCCTAACAAAGTTTGCAGGGGGGCCCCGTGAGAATTTGCCACGCTACTGCCCTCCTCGTAGAAGTTGAAACCAATGCAATCAAAACTCTTCCGCGTAACTTTGTGGATATGGATAGGTATATTTAATTATAATCGCCATATGTCTAATTATTTCGGACATAGGCCGAATTCGGCATCTGTCTCCAACATATAGATGAAAGCAAATAAACTTTTAGTTACGTGATTAAGTTTGATCCGCACAGCGTTGCCCACTTTTACATATTTTCTTTTAATAAAAATATTTTGGGAAACAAAAATAAATTAATTATAAATATATAAACAGTTATTATTTACATCAACAAAACTCACCTCCTTAACAGCAGTTAAGGGACATAAAGGGCCATTACTACCGCATTCCCGTTCAAAATATTCTAATAAGGCTGCGATGAGTTTTTCGCAACGGCTATTAAGCTATCTTCAACACTTCGCACTAAAAGAGGTTTTAAAAAGAATAATGTTCGACTGCAAGGTCTGTTAGTGGGTGGGTCAAATTCGACGTTTTTAAATGGAAACACGCTTTTCTATAGGAGATAGACGAAAACTAGTATCGGTGTCTGGAGCTCAATTTTCATCAAAAACATGATGGTGAAAACCGCACATCAATATCTGCTACCGTTTCGGAGTTACGGGGTGTTTTTCAAAAATGTGCATTTTTAACAAATAGCTGTAACTTTTTTGCTATGGAAAATTTTATATTTCTATGAAAACATTTCCAAAGCACCTTTTTACGTAGAATTTAATGGCTTAAGTATATATTTTTTTTAAATTAATAATTTAAGAGTTATCAAAAAAAAATTGATTTTTTATTTAGGACACCCTTTATATTTTTAATTAACTGAAAAGAATTTAAAATTACCTTTCCAAAAATATAGCACACTTAGATATTTTGTTATAATCCCCTTCGAAATACAGAATTTTTAAAAGTTCGCCACTTTTAACTAGTAGGCTTTGGACCCCTTATTGATATACCCTTAATGGAACTCGAAAACATATTTTTCCGGCAAGACGACGCACCGCCTCTGAACGCTGAAGTTATCAGCAAATTTTTGCAGCCAATTTCAAGAATAATTGGATAGCTAACCAAGATCCCAGCCGTTGGCCGTCGAGGCCGCCTGACTTAGTGCTCATGGATCTAATCCTATGGATATATTTGCGGAACAATAAAGGTTCCTTATTCTTCCGTATAATCTAGACAAGAATTAAAAATACTTAGCAGTTATGAGAGGGTATCTTTCGCCTCCACTGAGTTAATAAATTCCGCGAGAAATGTTCAAAAACTGCCCCGTCTGTCCATAACAGAAGACGGTCGATATGTCGAACACCTGTAGCAAACTCTCATGTCTTGGTTTGCTATTTGTTTTTATTGTTATTAGACATAGTTTAAATGTGTTTATGTTGGTTAAATATATTTTAAATTGTTATAAAATTCTGCATCTCTTATATTATTTTCGTTTTAATTGATGCTTAATGCTCACAGCTAGAATTTTTTTGCATTACAGCCGGTGACGTTCAAAGCCTACTTATTTAAAGCGGGCGAATTTTTATATACTCTATATAAAATTTTCCATAGCAAAAAAGTTACAGCGATTTGTTAAAAATGCATATTTTTTAAAAACACCCCGTAACTCCGAAACGGTAACAGATATCGATATGCGGTTTTCACCATCATGTTTTTGACAAAAATTTAGCTCTAGACACCGATATTAGTTTTTGTCATAGCGTTATCTCCTATAGAAAAGGGTGTTTTCATTTAAAAGCGTCGAATTTGACCCACCTTGTTAGTAAAAAAATTTAAGCTTAAACTATCCCACAATCTTAAGCTTAAAGTGTCAACACAATTCATTTAAACCAAAAACTCGTGATACAAATGTAAAGTGTCAAAACGAACGACAATGTCAGGAAATAAATAAATAAATGTTTCAACTTGACATTTTTTATGGCAGAGCTACCACCTGAATCCACAGGGTGAAATTTAAATTCCAGTTAGTCAGCCCGGCGCCGAATATGTCCATTGTTGGCAACAATGAATTTAAAAATCGCGTTCTCGATTACGCAATTAAAAATTTAATTGGTATCGCTACTTTTAAATACTTTAATAATTGTAGCCGTTATTTTTCTTTAAACAATAATCCTTACAAAGGCTTATAAAATATAATTATTGTTTTAGAAAACTGGTATTCCACTAGAGGGCAAAGCACGATCCCAAATCAATCTGAAAATGAACAATATGCGTGGATTCACCAGCAGTATAGAAAAATTTAGTAACACTGTAGTGCCCTTAGTATGGGTCGAATATGTAAGTATTATAACCACGGTTTCTCTATGATCTAAATATAATATACTGGGTGTAAACATATAGTAGCCCGGACTTCAAAGAATGATTCTTTTTCGTAATATTAGGGGTCCACATTCCTTGATCTATTTTATTCATCTCGAATGGTTTGTGGTCAAGGAAGGTCATTTAGTCTGATCTCATTTAGAGTAGAGGTCCCACGATGAAATTCCCTATCTTTAAGTGTCCTGTTGCTGTGTGATCCAGGCGGAGGCCTGGATGTCTATCTAAAGAGGCGCAAGATCCAGAAGCGCCTCCATTGATGCTAGTAATGCCAACTTGTGGGAAATATCCCGATTCGTAGAAAATTTCAAGATAAAGGGAGAAAAGGGAAATTTTAAGCCTAAACACCATATTCGTGGAAAATTCTAAATTCATGTATTATTCGTAAAAAACAGTTATCGTATACCCATATTTCAGCAAAGCCTCAGCAAATGTTTCTAGGAATGGTATATATCCCAGTGGTGTTGACATCGTTTGCAACTTATCTCTGGCAACTTTGCGTATACGCATTACATAATATATTGTTATGCTTTCTAGGAGATGCGGGTGATATTTGAAGATGAGATTGGTGAAGAATTATAATTATATAATATAGAATTATAAGTTATATAATTATTAATTATAATTTTATAATTCCCAAGAACACGACACTATATTTTAATTGAGAATTCGTGGGAATTTTTCGAAAAAAGGGAAATTTTGACCGTCTTCTTGGGAAATTCTATTTCAGAAAGTTGGCAACACTGATTGATAGAGTGAGCGTTTATTTCATTGCTTAGAGAAGCGAGTCTTTGCATCTCGCTGAGGCTGGGCATTGTTATTTGTTGCATTATCTTTGACCACCATACCAAGGAGGCATATGTTACTGAAATCCTCACCACCTCAGTGTACCATTTGTGATCTGAGGCTGACTACCGCTAGTGTTGTTGGCTTTGAATAAGAAGACTAAGGAAGGAGCATAGTGCTATCCATGTATTCATGCATGGTGGGCGGAAAAGCCACCATAAAAGCTCTCTAGGGTGGGGATCCTTGACAGTTCTGTTTGACGATTCATTTGACACATTTGAATTTGATTTGAAATTTTGTGGATTTGTCAGTCTTTACGGAGCTTATTTTATGTTATTTATTATTTATTCTACTACTGATAGTTGTATAAAGGTAGTAAATCTAGATGGAAATTGTGGCAGAACATAAATTAACAGTGACACTATCGCGATTTATCGAAAAAGACTCTAAAATAGTTGGTTGTTTAGCGTGCGGTAGATCTCGGCAAAAATTGAGTGAAACAACTTTTCGCTAGTAAGTGACTATATAATATACATACGTGTAGTAAACCGATCATTTATGAAATTCACTTAAATTCACTAAATTATATATTTTTCTTGCATTTTAGCTTTTATTTATTACTTGTCAAAGATTAGATGTCAAAGAATTTAGATACCGTAAAATGGGGTTACTTGGGACGTCGGGGTTACTTGGGACGCAACTTAGGTTTTTCTAATTTAACTGGCGGGAACAACGCAAATATAAACAAACCCTTAATTTAGTGTTTTGGTTCGTTAAAGAACAATGTGTTGATGATTTAATTAAACGAATTCTATATAAAGTGATAGTATTTTACTTATATAAAAAAAATAAATAGGTGGCGGGAAGCAAGCTAAAAATAAGTGGTCGAAAACTTTATCTGTAAGAGGCAGTCAAAAAGTAAACAGGTAAGTCCAATTACATTTCTTAGTTAGTTTTTTATGTTTCATAAATAATACCAATGTCATTGCTCGCGTTTAGATAATTTTTTAGATTGTAAAATATATTTTTTTAAAAAAGTCATGGTTTGGGGTAACTTGGGTCAACAATTGTCCCAAGTTAGCCGTTGGCCCAAGTTACCCCATGTTATTTAATCGATTTTGTTTTCAGTGCTCTCCACATGCCAAGAAAATATATTCGCAAAATTGGCTCTAAAAATATCACGACTTTGAAGAAAAAAAATATGGAAAGTGCCATAGAAGACATACAATCTGTAATGTCCTATAGAACAGCGGCAGACAAATGGAACCAAAACAACTTTACAGAGCAGTGTAAAAATCAGAATTTAAAAAGATAAGGAAGACCTACAGTTTTGAAAAAAGAGGAAGAAGACGAACTTATCAGAGACAGTTTTATGAGAAAATCTACGAAAAACAACAAACATTTTGTGTTCCCAGATTTAGCTCATGAGTACGATATCACAGAGGATAAAATTGTGAGAGTGTTAAAAGCAGAGGACGTGAGCATTACTAGAGGCCGCCATACATTTAATGGATTAAAAAATACTCGTTGGCTACAATAAAGAGAATGCAATCGATCTATTTTTCTTGTGTTTACAAAATGTTTTTTTTAGTTCCCTTTTGTCCTTACGATTCAAATCGTGACTTTGTTCCTATTATGTTTATTGAAGAAATTTTACATTTTCTAATGAATAAATAAATATTTCTAATAAGTTTACGCTAAATCGAGTTTTTCTTTCCTCTAAATAATTATCTGAGAAAAAAATTTCAACTCATGATGTGTGTTAGTGTATTTTTTTATTTTTTCTGCTGTCCCAAGTAACCCGTGAGTAGTTTAACATACATTTTCGGTATAAAACCGTTACAGTCCCATTTAACCCCAATGCGGGGAAACTTGGGACAGTAAATATGTTAGTTTTTTTTTCTAAATATTCTTACATTAGGAGCCATTTATGATGCTTTATAGGTTAAATACATGTGAAGGAAATTTTCTACACATAAATTGTTGCTTTGTCTTCACAAAAACATTTATAAATTACCACATGACTAAAAAAAATTATAGTGAATTTGTCCCAAGTAACCCCATTTTACGGTACGTTAATTTGACTTACCTGCTTCAGTAGCGTATCGGATGTTTGTGTTAATAAATACTTATTATAACTTATCTATTTTTATTAGAATTATATATTTTTATAACAATTTTATTAACTACCAACATTTATTCACAACGTAAAATAAAACAACAAATTATTGAGTCTACCCCACCTCTACCCTACATCATAGTTTTACATTTTTTAAATAAAATTAGAACGACACTGATAAACCGGAATTTAAGTCGGCCATATTTGAGGCCCATCGCGGTGTACCTTAGATTTTTGATATGCTCCTTCCTTAGTCTTCTTATTCAAAGGTTGTTGGCAGTGACTAAAGAATCCAAGGACAAATAATACCCGAGAGCAAATTGTGCCGATGTCACCAAACAGTGCCGTGGCATATATTTTTCTTAACCTAGCTGTTTGAAGCAATATTTATATTTTTTGATAATTGTTTTGACTACGCCTATTGTGTATCATCCTAATTAATTACGAAAAAACGTATTAAAATGTTAACAAAAGGTACAAAACTAGTATCGACGTACAGCACAATAGCACATATCAAGTATATATTGATGTTAATTGAAATTGAAGAATAATTATCGGAATTCAATAAGAAAACGCTAAAAAGTTGGAGTGGACTGTTTATTTACCTATGAAAACGTAATTCCTGGCTCTTTCATATCGCTGCTGCTTTTACACTTGAAAGCTGAACAACTAATCACCATTGTAATAAAGTTTATACAAAGTTTACCACACACAAACTATTAAAAATCGCTAAAATTGTCGCTGGTGACCAAATGATGACTCATTGTTTGCCATCAAAAGAATGGCCTCTAAGGTCACAAATTCTACTGCAGCCCGTAAATGGGCGTTACATATCCTTATATTCTTTAGTCGTTGGTTGTTGGTGTACCAAAGAGTAATAGTACAGATAAAAATAAATTAGAAAGTTCCTGTTAATATAAGCTCTAGAATGTAGAATGCTTAGGAGGGAGATTAATCACCGCGACCTCTGCATGCACCTACTTCTTGAGCTATAACGATTTATAACTCATCATACAGTCTCAGGGCTTTGACGAAAGTCAGTATCTGAGACGGCTCCATATAGGCCAGCTCTCCATCTTCGACATCCGCCATACCAAAGTTTATGTAGTTCTGAACTTAACTTATCAACATCTAGAATAGTCTATTATGCCCTTTTTGAGTCGCATCTTCGTTATGCCCTTCCATTCTGGGGTACTTGCTGCGCGACAAAATTTGATGGTATCAAACTTCAAAAGAGAGCAGTTTGATATTTATTGGGATTGAACAGTAGAACTCACTGCCAGAATTTCTTTAAAAATTTCAAAATACTGACTTTTCCTTCTTTATTCATTTTTGAATCCGTTTGCTTAATCCGCAAGCACATATCTGCTATTCCCGAAAGGCCATCTCACACACTGGTTAAAAGTCTAGTATTTAATATTTTATAACTCTTAAAAGATTATATCTATTTACAATTTTCCTATTGTAAGATTTTATTAATAAGGCTTTTTTGTGTTCTGCAATGTCCATGTATTAATGTACTAATTTTAATGACGCAATTTTTTTTTAATTGTGCGATATATTTTATTATTTGTATATTTTTTGTTGCTTTTGTTTGTTTTGTAAATGCTTTGTCGATGAAGCTATTTTGGCTTTTTGTACAATAAAGCGTTGTTTATTTATCGGCTCCTTTATCGTCTCGGCGCAACTCAGTGATGAGATGTTCTGGTGTTTTTCCCCATTTTCCCTACAGAATCTGCATTTGCCGTTGTTTCTCAGCTTCAATCTATTGAGGTGTTCGTTCAGGAGACAGAGTCCTGTTAGAAACCCCATGACCAGCCGAAGATTGTTCTTACTTAAATCAAGGAAAATATTTCTTAAGTTCTAAGAAATGTATTCGAGTGTCTTAGCCCATTGGAGGTCCATGGAGTCTTCCAGGTTCTTCTGTTCCGCTGAAGAAGCTGGAAGATATGTACAGGGTGGGTCAAATTCGACGCTTTTAAATGGAAACACCCTTTTCTATAGGAGATAGACGAAAACTAGTATCGGTGTCTGGAGCTCAATTTTCATCAAAAACATGATGGTGAAAACCGCACATCAATATCTGTTACCGTTTCGGAGTTACGGGGTGTTTTTCAAAATGTGCATTTTTAATAAATCGCTGTAACTTTTTTGCTATGGAAAATTTTGTATTTCTATGAAAAACATTTCTAAAGCACCTTTTATTTAGAATTTAATGGTTTAAGTATAATTTTTTTAAATTAATAATTTAAGAGTTATCAACAGAAAAATTGATTTTTATTTGGGACACCCTCTGTATTTTTATTTAACCGAAAATAATTTAAAATTACCTTTCCAAAAATATAGCACACTTGATATTTTGTCATAATCCTCTTCGAAATACAGAATTTTTAAAAGTTCGCCACTTTTAACTAGTAGGCTTTGGACCCCTTATTGATAATAGGCCCTTAATGGAACTTGAAAACATATTTTTTCAGCAAAACGACGCACCGCCTTTGAACGCTGAAGTTATCAGCAAATTTTTGCAGCCAATTTCAAGAATAATTGGATAGATCCAGATCCAACCAAGATCCCAGCCGTTGGCCGCCGAGGCCACCTGACTTAGTGCCCATGGATCTAATTCTATGGATATATTTGCGGAAGAATAAATGTCCCTTATTCTTCCGTATAATCTAGACAAGAACTAAAAATACTTTAGCTTAGCAGTTATGAGAGTACCTTTCACCCCCACTGAGTTAATGAATTTCATGCGAGAAATGTTCAAAACCGCCCCGTTTGTCCATAACAGAAGACGGTCGATATGTCGAACACCTGAAGCAAAATCTCATGTCTCGGTTTGCTCTTATTTTATTGTCATTAGATATAGTATAAATGTATTAATGTTGGTTAAATATAGTTTAAATTGTTATAAAATTCTGCATCTCTCATTGCAAATATTATTTTCGTTTTAATTGCTGCTCACCGGCTAGTTTTTTTTGCATTAGAGCCGGCGCCATTCAAAGCCTACTTATACAAAGTGGGCGAATTTTAATAAACTCTATATCTCGAAGAGAAATTGAGCAAAATATCAAGTATGTTATATTTTTGGAAAGGTAATTTTAAATTATTTTCAATTAGTTAAAAATATACAGGGTGTCCCCTTTAAAAAACCAAATTTTCTGTTGATAATTCTTAAATTATTAATTTTAAAAAAATTATACATAAACCATTAAATTCTACGTAAAAAGGTGCTTCGGAAATGTTTTCTCAAAAATACAAAATTTCCCATAGCAAAAAAGTTACAGCGATTTGTTAAAAATGCATATTTTTGAAAAACACCCCGTAACTCCGGAACGGTAACAGATATCGATATGCGGTTTTCACCATCATGTTTTTGATAAAAATTGAGCTCCAGACACCGATAATAGTTTTCGTCTATCTCCTATGGAAAAGGGTATTTCCATTTAAAAGCGTCCAATTTGACCCACCCTGTACATGCCCTGAGATTCTTCTTAGGGAACACTAACACTAACTGAAATATCTGACTAACATTACCAATTATAACTAACAATACACACCTAAACAAAATTACAACTAACAAATAAGAACTGCTTTGCGAGGGTCTAAAAGTTTTCTTTATTTTACAGCATCAAGTTGGTATTCCATGGTACATTCAAACCCTAATTTACTTGGTAGCTGTGATAGTACCAGTAGGACAGCTACCCTTCTCGATATTCTGCGCAATTTTGGGCTGTGTTTTAGTGTACTTAGGAATCATTGGTCTTGGTAGATGTAAGAGACGGCAATTTGAAGAAGAGGAAATCCTAAGGTTCGAGGTAGAAGCTTTTCTGAGGAAATGACAAAATTATAAATAGTTTTAAGTTTATATCAGAGATATAGAGCGTTAAGGAGAATGAACAAAGTTTGCATCACGGCATATAAATCACACGGCAGGCTAACTCTGCCTAGATCCCATTGTTTAAAATTTCTATAAAATTTGACCTTGAAAACACCATTATGGGTGCCGAGTCAGGGCCGGATTAAAACGTATCAAAAACTTTCCCAGAAAATAAAATTATGGATAGACAGGGTCGTATTAAAAAAATACGGTAATTTAAGACTGAAACTGAATTTTATTTACACAATACTTTTATCTAAACAAATGAAACGTTAACCGCGCATACTCCTCGAAAACTGTAAAGAATAGACAATTAAAATTAAAAAACATGCCAGGAGTTACAAACAAGAATTAAAAAAATACCCAATAAAATATCTATTTTTTAATAACGTTCCTTCTAACAATCTAAAGAGGCTACGTACAAATTATGTCCATCAATGGACATAGCAAATTTTGTTAATATTCAAATTGCACAAATTAACAAATCAGCTAAAGGAAGGAAAGTAACAGATGAATTTAAATATATAAATGTTTGGCTATATACTTTTCCGGGCCAAAAATATACAAGACGCTCTTGACAAATTTATTTTGCCTTCCACGTCCAGAGACCCAGAGACACTAAGATAATGAATATATGACATCGATATCAAACCTGGCTTAGAATATCTTAGTGTATTTGAGACTCTGAAAAAGAAAAGTTGAAAGTTTCGATCAAAGGTTTCGATGAACCGGATGAACTTAATCGATATTGTGTTCTATGTACTGATGATATGAATATCAAGTGCAATTTATTTTATAATAGTGGTCGTGATAATATTGTAGGTTTTGAGGACCAGAAGGGGAACAGAGAGTTTAAACTAGCTCGGGTGTCTAATGTTTTTATGGTAAGAGGTATCTTTACCAATGGGAAGCAGTCCCTAGCTTATTTACAAGCTTTTATTTAACTTGCTTTGTATGTATGTCTGTTCGGGGCAAATCTTGTAAGCTAAATTAGAAGCACTTCCTTTCATTGTAGGAAATTGAAATTTGGCATGTAGGTTCAGTCCCGATGACAATACATTTTCTTGCAAAGCATGACGCGAATTTTTGACAGCTGTCAAAAAAATTTCAAAGTTGTCCGATTTTGATAAAAATCGATATATAGGATGGCCATGAGCTAAAATGAAAGAAAAAAAAATTGAGCTGTCAATTTTGACAGCTGTCAAAAAAATTTCAAAGTTGTCCGATTTTGATAAAAATCGATATATAGGATGGCCATGGGCTAAAATGAAAGAAAAAAAATTGGGCTGTCAAATTTGACAGCTGTCAAAAAAATTTCAAAGTTGTCCGATTTTGATAAAAATCTATATATAGGATGGCCATGGGTTAAAATGAAAGAAAAAAAATGAGCTGTCAAATTTGACAGCTGTCAAAAACATTTCAAAGTTGTCCGATTTTGATAAAAATCTATATATAGGATGGCCATGAGTTAAAATGAAAGAAAAAAAATTGAACTGTCAAATTTGACAGCTGTCGTTTTTTTTAAATTCTCCTTTTTTAATGAAAATCGATATACATATTATTAGGATGCCCATAGGAAGTTATTTAAGAAAAAGAATTGAGTTTAAGTGTGTGGCACTGAAAAACCAGCATAACTAAAAAGTAGAAAATAAATTTAAGAAAAAAAAAATTAAAAACAAGCTTTTATTTAAATACATTAAAAAGAAAAAAATAAACTCTCTTTTTCTTTAAACCTTTTATTATGAACTTATAACGTCATAACACAATTTTATATTATATAAAAGCTTGTCGCGAGATTTGAGTGTTCAGTTGCACTCATAAAAATCTGGTACAACTTTATCTTGTAATTCCTGTAATTCTTGTAATTCCAATATCTTGTAAACCTTATTACGTAAATTTAAACGTATATCATTATTCCCATCCAGGATAAATTCATCCAGTTTAGAAGAACATTTAAAAACTTTGTGTCCGAATATTACACACTTGTAGTGAAAATTGCCAAAATGATCTGGCAAATATCTTATTAAAAATGGCAGACCTTATTATAAATAACAACTAGACCTCTGTTCTTTTCTCTCTGAATTGTCATGAGCTTACCATAAAAATTAAAAATAGATACGGATAATCAGAAAAACAGTAATTTAGAAATGAATCTTGTTTGTCATTTTGCAGGATACCTAATAATAAAAATTACTTTGAATGCCGTAGGCAATGATTGAGTATTAAAACTGAAAGAATTTCGGACTAACTACTAAACTACAAAAACTAAATATATCACACAATAAACAAAATATATCACTCAAGAAAAGAATGAAATAAATTAAGCCGCACGCTACTGACTCAAAGCTGCCGTAACTGTATGTTGTCGATGACAGAGACTACGACACTGGTTCATTTCTGTTGCTGGCACCCATAATGGCGGCGTGCGCAAGGATATGCGCGTAGCGTTCCCGCCAAAGCGAGTTGGCCTGCCGTGTGATTTATATGCCGTGGTTTGCATGCTCATTCTCTCTACCTCGATATCTGTGATTTATATAAATGTGATATAAGTATGAGCTTGAATGTTAGCTGTTATTTTCGTTATTGTGTAATTTTAGTTATTGTTAAATTTAAGAAATGTGACAATTTGGTGCAGAACTGGGTAGATTTAGAAAAAAACGGGCTTAGATGTTAATATTTTATTCTACACAAACTTTAGTCAATACTTTTTAGGTTTTAGTTAATTATAAGAAATAAGACTGCTGGTATATTTGTGTAGA